GTCGGAGGCTCCGCGGCAGTTCGGCGTCAGCGACCATTTCACTTGGATCATGCACCGGTTCTATCGAAACCAACAAGGGCATTTCTTGGGGCAGAAGTCAGGAGTTTCCCATCAATGCTGGCGTTCGCCAGGGATGCGTGCTCAGCCCGGTTCTGTCCACAGCTGTGTTGGAGTGGGCCATGCGCGCGGGGAGAGCTCGCGCGTCGCATCTTGGATTTGATTTTGGCGACGGTTCGAGACCGCTCATAGAATTACGTTTTGCCGATGACATTCTATGTTTTGCCAGGTCAGTGGGCGATGCTACACTGCAGCTGGATGCACTGGTCGACGAATTTGCCAAAGTTGGATCGATTCTGAATGCGGCCAAGACGGTGGTAATGGCAACAGAGGCGTAACCTCCGCTTGAAATCACCACGCAGGTCAGCGCAACTATTCGAATCCTGCCCCCCGGGATGCCGCCCACAAGTGGTTGGGATGCATGTTGTCCTGTGGAGGTTCTGGAACGCATAATTTGGACGTGGAGTATCTTCTGACATTCGCAAGCAAGGCTTTCTTTGCAAACGGAACCATTTTTGGGGCGACCTGAATGTGTCTCTCGCTGCCCGGCTTGAGTTTTTTTCAGCCGCGTCGTAACGTCCGTGGCACGTTTCTGAACTGCGCAAAATCGTCGCTGCTTTCCAGCGATTGATGCGGCAGGTCGTTGGCACGCAAGCCGCTTTGGATTGGTTTCGACCTTGGCACGATATTTTCCACGTATGTCATGAACGGCTCAGTCAAGCAACGACTGAACATGGCATCCGGACTTGGTCGAGAGAGTCCATGAATAAGTATTGGGATTTGGCAGCACATTTTGCGAGGTTGCCCCCGGAGCGGTGGGCGCAGAGAGCGTTACAGTGGACGCCGTCTGGGACACGCTCACAAGGGATGCGCGCACGGGGAGCTCCACGCAGTAAATAATTACGCCATGTACGGTTAGAGTGATGGTGATACTGCTGATGATAATTTATGACGACAATGCGAATACTGGTAATGCACATGATGATCATGATGACGATGTTGCTGGTGATGGTGATAATGCTGCTGATGTCGATGATGATGATGCTGATGATGATGACGATGATGATGATGCTGCTGCTGATGATGATGATGATGATGATCATGATGATGATGATGATGATGGTGATGATGATGATGATTGCGGGGCAAATTCTTGTTGTTTCGCGTACCCCCACCAACCCATCCAGAAACGATGCCCTGAGGAAATGCCTCGACCAGGGAAGTGGGCAGCACACAGAGGAAGGGTCCCCCAGTGGAGGCCTTTTGGAGCGTCTTGGGGGCCTCCTGGCGGTCCCAGGCGCCTCTTAGAGCGTCTTGGGTGCCTCGGAGAGCTTCTTGGGGCCTTTTTCGGGGGTCTCATGAGCCCCTGGGAGGCCTCTTGGGCGCCTGTTCGGGCCTCCTGGTGTCCCTGGGCGCCTTATGGGCCCTCCTGAAACGCTCTTGGGGGCCTTGGGGGCGCTCTTAGAGCCCTCTTGGGCCATCTTGGAGCCATCTTGAGGCTTCGGATGGCCATCGGAAGCGAAACGGCGAGAAAACCAAACATATTGATTTTCTCAGGTGTTGGAAGGATGCTGGCCTCTTCGGGGCCTCATGGGGGAGTTCCTTGACTATTTGGAGCCGTCTTGGAACGAATTTGGGGTTTATTGGAGCATCGGGGGCGCTATTTTGGAGCATCATGGGATATTTTGAGCCATCTTGGAGGTCACCTTGGGCTCCCCCAGGCGCTCTTGGAGTCACCTTAAGCAGTGCCCCCCCCAAGGAGGCCAAAATGTGACCACAACCTTGGTGAAATCAGTGGTTTTGGCATTTTCGCCGAGGCCTTTTGGTGCATTTTGGGTGCCTCTGGGGGGGGGGCTCTTGGGACCTCTTAGGGGTCTCTTGGGAGCTGCTTGGGGGCATCCTCGGGGCCTGTTGGCGGCCTCTTGGGGCCTCCTGGCCACCTCTTGGGGCCTTTTTGGGGCACCCTTGGGAGCCTTGGGAGCGCTCGTGGGGCCATCTCGGAAGAGATCGGTCAAAGAACGGGGTTTCCTTACTTAGTGTTGCCCTCCCAAGAGGCCAAACTGGGGTCAAAACCTTCTAGTACAACCGATGATTTTGGCTTCCTCGCCGACGTTCCGACCGCTCGCGGAACGCCCCGTCCAGGTCAGGCGAAGGAGTAGGGTTTAAGCACACCAAAGGGGAACCGCGAGGGGGTATTGCGTTCCTCTGTGCGCGCCAAAATGACCGGGATGCTTTGAGCGCTTTGCCTGCTTGCATGCGCAACATGCTCCGCTTTCGGAGCAGATGTTGAGGATGTCTCGAGCGAGGCGCTGGCTTTCGCACCCCAGGGGGGCCAGATCTTGAGGATGTCTCGAACGGTGTGCTTGTTTCTTAGTAGCCAGATTCGCCGAGGCCTCTTGTGAGGATGTCCCGGGTGAGGCGTTGGTTCCAACACCCCTCCCCAGGATGCCACAGGAGAATCCAACAGGCCCCAGGAGGCCACAGGAGGCCAAAGGAGGCCCCAGGAGGCATCGGGAGGCCACAGGAAGCCCCAAGAGGCTCAGAGAACCCCCAGGAAGCCCCAGGAGGCCTCCGAAGGCTCCAGGAATCTTCAGGAGGCCACAGGAGGTCCCAGGAGGCCGCAGGAGGCCCCAGGAGGCCCAGGAGGTTCCAGGAGGCCCCAGGAAGCACCAGAAGGTCCCAGGAGGCCACAAGAGGCCGCAGTAACCGCCAGGGGGCACCAGGAGGCTCCGGAAGGCCTTGGGAGGCTTCAAGAGGCCCCAGGAGCAGGATGCCTCATTATGTTGCTATAGGATGGGCTTCCCCTGGAGCACGCATCCCTAGCTTTTCCACACCATCATGTGGTGTTGGGTCCGCGTTTTGAAGAGACAGCGCCCCGCGTTCCTTCCTTCCTCCTCCTCTCCTCCTCCTCCTCCTCCCCCCCCCCTCCTCCCATGCCATGCCTCTGCAGTGCGCGCGTCCACCATGCGGCACACCCCTCACGAGGATCGTGACCCCATCGGGAGTTCCACCGAAGGCCCCTTTGGCACAGGTCGCATGCGCCCGACGCCCATTGTGGCACACCCCTCACACGGTTCCTGGCCCCATAGGGAGCTCCACCGAAGGCCCCAATGGCACAGGTCGCATGCGCCCGACGCCCATGTTGGCACACCCCTCACAAGGTTCGTGGTCCCATAGGGGGCTCCACCGAAAGCTCCAGTCACACAGGTCGCAAGCGCCCGACGCCCATGTTGGCACACCCCTCACACGGTTGTCTATCCCATAGGGGGCTCCACCGAAGGCTCCAGTCACACAGGTCGCATGCGCCCGACGCCCATGTTGGCACACCCCTCACACGGTTGTCTACCCCATAGGGAGCTCCACCGAAAGCCTCAGTGACGCAGGCCGCATGCGCCCGACGTCCCCATTTTGGCTTACACCTCACACGTTTCCTGACTTTATAGGGAGCTCCACCGAAGGCCCCAGTGGCACAGGCCGCATGCGCCCGACGCCCATGTTGGCAAACCCCGCACACGGTTCGCGGCCCCATAGGGAGCACCTCCGATAGTGGCACAGGCCACATGCGCCCGACGCCCAGTTTGGCACACCTTCACACGGTTGGTTGCCCCATATATTATAGGGAGCTCCACCAAAGGCCCCAGTTGCACAGCCGCCTGCGCCCGACGCCCATGTTGGCAGACCCCTGACACGGTTCGTGGCCCCATAGGGAGCTCCACCGAAGGTTCCAGTGGCACAGGCCGCATGCGCCCGACGCCCGTTTTGGCACATCCTTCACATGGTTGGCTGCCCCACAGGGAGCTCCACCAAAGGCTCCAGTGGCACAGGCCGCATGCGCCCGACGCCCATTGTGGCACACCCCTCACAGTGGCCCCCTGGGGAGTTCCACCGAAGGCCCCAGTGGCACAGGCCGCATGCGCCCGACGCCCATTGTGGCACACCACTCACACGGTTCGTGGCCCCATGGGGAGTTCCACCGAAGGCTCCAGTGGCACAGGCCGCTTGTGCCCGACGCCTATGTTGGCACACCCCTCACACGGTTCGTGGCCCCTGAGGGATCTCCACCGAAAGCGATACCCACAATGCGGTATTCACAATTGCGCATGGTTGGGTCCTTCGTCCGGAGAGTTTACGTATGTTTCCATAGTGTGTCCTTCTCTTGTGTATCCAATCGTATGTGTTTATTTATGTTCCTGCACATTGGGCCTGCTCGGGGGCACGAATCCTTGGTGTTTCACGTGTGTTCCTATAGATTGTCCCTCTCCTGTGGCTCCAATCCGATGTGTTTTACATGGTCCTGTAGATTGGGCTTCTCCTGGGGCACAAATCCTCGCCAGGAGGCCCAGGAGACTCCAGGAGGACCTGGGAGGCCACACGAGGCCCCTGGAGGCTTCAGGAGGCCACACGAAGCCCCAAGAGGCACGAGGAGGCCCCAAGAGGCTCCAGGAGGCCCCAGGAACCCCCAGAAGGTTTCGGGAGGCCCCAGGAGGCCCCAGGCTCATGCGCAGAGACGCACTCATATTATTGAGACTCATTCGCGCTCCAACTCATTCACAGGTAGATTCACTCCCAGACCGCCAATACGCAAGCCCGTTTATCTTCGACAACTTTTGCGCCTAGACGCTCACGGCGGACAGGTCCATGCAAATAGATGCACATCTTGGGAGCTCCGCGCAGTGCATCACTTTCAGCAGTCGGGGTCTTCTCGGACTGCTCTCCCTCTTCCCTCCGACGTGTCCGCCTCTGGGCGGACCTGCCCGACCTGACGTGAGACTCCCTGGCACCGCTCGGACGTGTGCATTTTCTTCTCGGCGAGGACCCTGGAGGAGCATCCTGGACCACCGAGCAGGCAAAAACACGCACGACACCGAAACGGGCACAGGGCATGGCCGCCCGAGCCATGGCAGGGACCCGTGCCTCCTCGTCGCCCACCCGGCCCCGCAGAGGACAGCCTCGCGCAGGCCGCCCGCGCGCTGGACGAGGCCGAGGCGCTCCTGGCGGCGGCGCCCCGGAGGGGCCCCCTGCCGGCCGCGCCGGGCGCCCCCTGCGCGTGGGAGCGGCGCCGGGCTCCCGGAGAGGGGGGGGGAAAAGGGGCGCGGCTCGCGCGCGCGGGGGGGGGAGGGGGGCGCCCAGGGGTGCCCACGACGCTGCTCTCGGGGGGTGGCGAGATTTGCTGCATGCAGCTGCTGGTTTTGGACACTTGAGACAGAAGGCCGCCTGCCCAACAGCGGCCGCTGTTGGTTTTGGACAACATGTGCTGTCAGGCATTCTACCAATTTTCTCCGTACCTATCTCGGGCGTTCAAAAAAAGCGGCGCGGCTCGCGCGCGCGGGGAGGGGTGGCGCCCAGGGGTGCCCACGACGCTTCTCTCGGGCCGGACGAAAGGGGGGGGATTGGGCAAGGGGGGGGGTACAGAATTTGCTGCATGCAGCTGGTTTCGGCCGCACCGAGGGGCCCATTCCTCGATACATGGCCGCCTCCGGCGCCGGGAAGATCAGCTACGTGAGCTGATTCTCAACCCCCCCCTTTGCTATCCCCCCCTTTCGCCCGACCCGATTCTCAGGACGATGGAGATTGGTACGGAAGGGATGGGTGCAAAGACCGACGGCAGTCCCTGTCCATGTTGAGCAGGACTCGCTGTCCGCGCTGCCGCGGGCGTTGCCCCTTGAAAACACAAGGCCGCCCGCCCAACAGCAGCCGCTGTCGGTTTTGGACAACATTTGTTGTTGGGTATTGTGCCCATCTTCTTTGTACCCATTTGGGCGTCCAAAGCTTCCCCGACGCATCCACTGCGCATAGGATGCGTCACAGGAGATGCGCGCTACATCCTTTCGCAGCCGCGTTGCCGACTCTGATAGACATGCGATGACGCATCCCAGGCGTTGGGCAGTTGGGCATGCGTCGGCGGCACCGCTGGAAAGGGGTCACGAGCGGAGAACATACCCGCATCCGCGCCCTCGCGGTCTGGATTCCGGGGCGTGGACGCGCGGATGCGCTGTCGTACGGACACGTTCCGAGCGGAGCGTCTCCGCGAAGAAGCGCCCCACATCCGCGGGGTCGTGGCCCAGGGGCCCGGCCCGAGATGCCGCGGATATGGATGCGTCTTTCGCCCACGAAAGGGGAATTGGGAAAGGGTGCGGTTCGGTAGCGACTCATGGGAGCTGTGTATTTCAAGGGAGGAAAAACCACCCCGACCGGACAATTGGCGTTTACTAAACCGCCCTGGGCGTTTACTAAACAGCCCTGCCCTGTTCGATTCCTTATTTGGGCGCGTTTACTAGAGGCCTCGCGTGTCGGGGAGGTTATAATCGGGGTGGAATTTCTGACCTCTAATTCCGTCTTTGGAGTGCACTAGCGTGCCCTGGCGTCTGCCAATGTTGGAGGAGAATGGTGAATGAGAGGGGAGAGGGGTATCCTAGGATTCCAAGTTGGCCGCGCGCGCGCAGGGGCACGAGGCTCAGGAATCTAGACAGAAACGAACGGGCGCCAGCGGCGACGGCGGAGGCAGATTAGGGACAGGAGGAGGCGACGGGTGTGGAGGAGGAGAAGGAGCAGGAGCAGGAGCAAGAGAATAGGAGGAGGAGGAGGAGGAGGAGAAAGAGGAGGAGGAATCGGAGGAGGAGGAGGAGGAGCTAGATGGAGGAATCGGAGGAGGAGGACGAGGAGGAGGAGGAGGAAGGAGGACACGTCCTAGAATTCATCGGCACTCCCTGCGGCAGGCTACGTGCTTCACAGCTGCGTGGGCGATCGTGCCTGTCACATGAATGTTCTCGATGGGACCGCGCTGTCCTCTTGAGTTGCTGGCTTCGCCTGATTGCTAACACATCCATTCGGCGGGGGCGACAGTTGTTGCTTGTACGCAGCCAGGAGGCACGGGCTGTTTGCGCATCTTGCTCTGGCCGCCGCCACCCACAGCCGTCGACGCAAGGTCCAGCCGCCCACTGTGAAAGGTTGCTGCTCTGCCCGCCGCTGCCGTCGGCGCCGCCGCCGCCGCGAGGTCCAGGCCACCGTGAAGGTGGGCGCCGTGCTCATCGACGTGGACGTCGGCGGTGGACGCGCCATAGCAGCGTGCCGGCAGAGCCCCCCGCTCAGACAGGTTTCACACTGGGATGTGCGGGATTTGGAGCCGTTAGGGGGCCTGGGGTGGCACAGCAATGGTCCCAGGGGGGCAGGAGGGGGGCGGCTTCGAGGTTCTCGGTTCGAGAAGGTTTTTGGGAGCCTCTTCGGCTTCAGAGGGCCGTCTTCGGGCCCTGGGCCGTTCTGGGGCCATCCTGGCGCCCTCTTGGGCGATCTTTGGAGGCTCTTGGGCCGTCTCGGTCCGTCGGAAAGCCGAAAAGAAGAACATGTCAACATCCTTCAAAAACGTACGGAAGCTCATTGCTTTGGGCCTTTTCTGGCTTTCATGGAGGCCCTCTTGGAGGCCTCTTCGGCCGTCTTGGGCCAGCTTCGAGCCAATTTCGGCCATCTTGGTGGGTTCCTGGCACGTCTGACGCCGTCGGGAGCCGTCTTGGGGGCCTCTCTAAGCCGACTAGGGGTCCGGGGCGCTTCGGGGCCGTCTTGGAGGCCATTTTGGGCGTCTTGGAGGTCTCTTGGGCCTCTTGGGGCCCTCTTGGGGCCGTCTTGGGTGCCCTTGTGCCATCAAGGGGCCCTCTTGGAGGCCTCGTGGGCGTTCTTGGGGCGATCTTGGAGGCCTCTTGGGCCGTCTTGATCCGTCGGAATGCCGAGAAGCGGCAAATGCCCATATCCTTAAAAAACTTTAGGGAAATAAATGATTTTGGCATCTTCGGGCCCTCCTGGAGCACCTCTTGGAGGCCTCTTGGGCCGTCTTGGGCCGTCTTGGAGGCCGTCTTGGGCCATCTTGAGGCTATCGTACGCCATCTTGGGTGCGTCTTGGGCCGTCTTGGAGGCATCTTGGGGCCATCTTAGCCGTCTTGAAGGCCATCTTGCCCGTCTGGGATGCATCTTGGAGGCCATCTTGGGCCGTCGTGGAGCCGTCTGGACCAGGGAAAAACCTTTGGAGCCGGGTCTGGGCCAATTTTCGGCATCCTTTCGGGTGGCCGGCGGGACGAACCGAAGCTCCCCGCGGTGAGTTCTTTCGGAAAAAGAACCAAAACCAAAACCGTAATAATCTAGCACGCCGGGCGCCTGTGTGGCAAGCCAACAGGGGGCGTCAGATCGAAGACGCCTACGGCGAATCACCGCCGCCCCCTGCCTTTTTGGAAGCGCCTATGTGGCCGAACGTTGAGGCCAGACCTGCCAAGCCATCGGACCATGTGTTCCCCGAATCGTTTTGGAAAGCCTTCGGGGTCACGTGGGTATCTTGAAGGTCATCTTGGCCGTCTTGGAGGCCTCTTGGGCGATCTTTCGGCGATCTCTGCGGGTTCTTGGGCCGTCGGAAGGCTGTCGGAAGGCCGAAAAGAAGTAAATATCAAAATCCGTCAAAGACCTCAGGAAATTCAATGTTTTGGCCTCTTCTGGCCTTCCTGGAGGCCCTCTTGGGGGCCTCTTGGGCGGTCTTGGGCCAGCTTCGAGCCCACTTCGGCCATCGTGGTGGGTTCCTGGCACGTCTGACGCCGTCGGGAGCCGTCTTGGGGGCCTTTCTGGGCCAACGGGGGACCCTCTTGGGGCGCTTCGGGGCCGTCTTGGAGGCCATCTTGGGCGTCTTGGAGGCTATTTTGGGCGTGTTGGAGGCCTCTTGGGCCGTCTTGGGGCCCTCTTGGGGCCATCTTGACGGCCACTTGGGCCGTCATGGGGCCCTCTTGGGGGCCTCTTGGGCGATCTTGGGGGCCTCTTGGGCCGTCTTGAGCCGTCGGAATGCCGAGAAGAAGCAAATTCCAAGATCCTTCAAAAACCTCAGGAAAAGTATGATTCTGGCCTCTTCGGGCCCTCCTGGAGAACCTCTTGGAGGCCTCTTTGGCCGTCTTGGAGGCTTCTTGGGCGAACTTGGAGGTATCTTGGACCCTCTTGGGCCGTCTCGGAGGCCGTCTTGGACCATCTTGGGTGGACTTGGGCGCCATCTTGGACCATCTTGGAGGCCATCTTGGGCCAACGTGACCATCTTGGAGGCCATGTTGGGCCGTCTTGGAGGAAGAATTCGGATTGGGCGGTGGCGTGTGCGTCTTACGGGTCTTGGGGGGCGGCCGGCGGGACGGGCCGAAGCGCCAGGGGGAGTTCTTTTGGAAAAAGAACCAGAACCACAACCGAAATCGTCTAGCACGCCAGGCACCCCTGCGATGAATCGACAGGGGGCGGCGGATCGAAGACGCCTACGGCGAACCACCGCCGACCCCTGCCTTTTTCGAAGCGCCTATGTGGCCGAACGTTGAGGCCAGACCTGCCAAGCTATCGGACCATGTGGTCCCCGAACCGGTTTGGAAAGCCTTCGGGGAACACGGCCGTGAAGGTCATCTTGGCCGTCTTGGAGGTCTCTTGGGCGATCTTTCCGCGATCTTTGGGGGCTCTTCGGCCGTCTCGGGCCGTCGGAAACAAAAAGAAGGAAATGTCAAAATCCGTCAAAGACCTCAGGAAAATCAATGTTTCTGTCCTCTTCTGGCCTTCCTGGAGGCCCTCTTGGGGGCCTCTTGGGCGGTCTTGGGCCAGCTTCGAGCCCACTTCGGCCATCGTGGTGGGTTCCTGGCACGTCTGACGCCGTCGGGCGCCGTCTTGGGAGCCTTTCTGGGCCAACGGGGGACCCTCTTGGGGCGCTTCGGGGCCGTCTTGGAGGCCATCTTGGGCGTCTTGGAGGCCATCTTGGGCGTGTTGGAGGCCTCTTGGGCCGTCTTGGGGCCCTCTTGGGGCCATCTTGACGGCCACTTGGGCCGTCATGGGGCCCTCTTGGGGGCCTCTTGGGCGATCTTGGGGCCTCTTGGGCAGTCTTGAGCCGTCGGACTGCCCAGAAGAAGCAAATTCCAAGATCCTTCAAACACCTGAGGAAAATCAATAATTTTGACCTCTTCGGGCCCTCCTGGAGGACCTCTTGGAGGCCTCTTGGGCCGTCTGGGAGGCCTCTGGGGGGCCTCTTGGGCCGTCTTGGGCCGCCTTCGGCTCTCTTTGGCCGTCTTGGAGGCCGTCTTGGACCATCTTTGGCGGACTTGGAGGCTTTCTTGGGCCATCTTCGCGATTTGTTGAGGATGTCCCGAGCGAAACGGCCGTTTCAGGGAGGATTTGTTCCGGAGTTTGTGCTCCTGGAAGGGCCTCCCGGGACCCCGGCGGGACGGGCCGAAACCTATTGGGAGAGTTCTTTTGGAAAAAGAACCAAAACCGAAATCGTCAAGCACGCCAGGCACCCCTGCGATGAATCGACAGGGGGCGGCGGATCGAAGACGCAAGACGCATACGGCGAATCACCGCCGCCCCCTGCCTTTGTGGAAGCGCCTATGTGGCCGAACGTTGAGGCCAGACCTGCCAAGCCATCGGGCCATGTGTTCCCCGAATCGGTTTGGAAAGCCTTCGGGGAACACGTGGGCATCTTGAAGGTCATCTTGGCCGTCTGGAGGCCATTTTGACCCTTTGGGGCCTTCTTGGAGGACGTCCTGGAGGGCTCTTGGGCCGTCTTGGAGGCCATCTTGAGCGTCTTGGAGACCTCTAGGGCCGTCTTGGTGGCCTCTTGGGGGCCGTGTCTTGGGCCTCTTGGGCGATCTTTGGTGGCACTTGGGCCGTCTCGGGCCGTCGGAAGGCAGAAAAAAGCGAATGCCACAATCCTTCAAAACCATTGGAAATCAATTATTCTGGTCTTTTCGGGCCTTCCTGGAGGCCCTCTTGGAGGCCTCTTGGGCCGTCTTGCGCCATCTTAGGGCTATGTTCGGCCGTCTTGGTGGGCTCCTGGTCCGTCTGAACCGTCGGAAGCCGTTTGGGGAGCCTCTATGGGCCGACTTGGGGCCCTCTTGGAATGCTCCAGGGCCGTCTTGGAGGCCCATCTTGGGCGTCTTGAAGGCCTCCTGTGCCGTCTTGGGGGCCTCTTGGGGCCGTCTTGGGGCCCTCTTGGGCCGTTCTGGGGCCATCTTGGAGGCCTCTTGGGCGATCTTTCGGCGATCTTCGGGGGCTCTTGGGCCGTCTCGGGCCGTCGGAAGGCCGAACATAAGCAAACATAATCCGTCAAACATTAAGGAAACTCAGTGTTTTGGGCCTCTTCTGGCCTTCCTGGAGGCCCTCTTGGGGGCCTCTTGGGCCGTCTTGGAAGCGCCTATGTGGCCGAACGTTGAGGCTAGACCTGCCAAGCTATCGGGCCATGTGTTCCCCGAATCGGTTTGGAAAGCCTTCGGGGAACACCTGGGCATCTTGAAGGTCATCTTGGCCGTCTGGAGGCCATTTTGACCCTTTCGGGCCTTCTTGGAGGACGTCTTGGAGGGTTGGGCCGTCTTGGAGGCCATCTTGAGCGTCTTGGAGACCTCTAGGGCCGTCTTGGTGGCCTCTTGGGGCCGTGTCTTGGGCCTCTTGGGCGATCTTTGGGGGCACTTGGGCCGTCTCGGGCCGTCGGAAGGCAGAACACAAGCGAATGCCACAATCCTTTAAACACAATGGGAAATCAATTATTCTGGCCTTTTCGGGCCTTCCTGGAGGCCCTCTTGGAGGCCTCTTGGGCCGTCTTGCGCCATCTTCGGGCCATGTTCGGCCGTCTTGGTGGGCTCCTGGTCCGTCTGAACCGTCGGAAGCCGTTTGGGGAGCCTCTATGGGCCGACTTGGGGCCCTCTTGGAATGCTCCAGGGCCGTCTTGGAGGCCCATCTTGGGCGTCTTGAAGGCCTCCTGTGCCGTCTTGGGGGCCTCTTGGGGCCGTCTTGGGGCCCTCTTGGGCCGTTCTGGGGCCATCTTGGAGGCCTCTTGGGCGATCTTTCGGCGATCTTCGGGGGCTCTTGGGCCGTCTCGGGCCGTCGGAAGGCCGAAAATAAGCAAATGTCAGAATCCGTCAAACATTAAGGAAACTCAATGTTTTGGGCCTCTTCTGGCCTTCCTGGAGGCCCTCTTGGGGGCCTCTTGGGCCGTCTTGGGCCAGCTTCGAGCCAACTTCGGCCATCTTGGTGGGTTCCTGGCACGTCTGACGCCGTCGGGCGCCGTCTTGGTGGCCTTTCTGGGCCGACTTGGGGCCCTCTTGGGGCGCT